AGAGCAGTGGCTTCTCAACGTTGACCATAAAGGGAACTAATAACTTAACTTTAATCAGAGCTAAAACACTAGACAACCGGCTAGCACTTACTGGAATGAAAACATATGTTGCTCTCATCTGTAACAGCCTTTCCATGTGTGTCCATTTGCAGTTCTTGCGTCAGGGGACTGAAGCGCTATAATTTGTGTTTTTATCATTCCCAGGTCAGGGCAGTTGGCGCTGAGAAACAATGAAGCTAATTACAGAACAGTTTCAAGGAGAAAATGTGCATCGCCTTGTATTCAAAGGAGAGAAGAAAAAAAAAACATTTTCTTAATAATTTTTTGGTCATTAAATATTTTGAAAAGAATGAGGTTATATAATGAGAATTAAGTTTATTTTTCTTACCACACTGGCAATTTTTTCTTGTTAAAAAACAAATAGGATGAAAATCATTATGCTTAAAACAAGAAAAAGAACGCCATTCTTTTTTCTCTTTCTGAAAACAGATAGTGTATATACAGTATGGAAGTCCATTTCCGGCACAAGAAAAAAAACATGCATTAAAAGTTGAAATTATGAAATTGACATAAGACATAATTATGTGATGAAAAGTCAGGATTGACTTAAAAAGTCATAATTATGAGATACAATTGTGAAATTATGTCATACTAAGTCGAAATTATGCCTTACTGTAAAAAGTCATAATTATGAGATAGAAAGTTGAAATTATGACATACTAAATCGAATTTATGCCTTAAAAAGCAAAAAATTAGGACATACTAAGTTGAAATATGACTTACATGGTTGAACTTATGATGTTCAAACCATACCTCTTCTGCTATAAGTTTTGATAATTATGACTTTCTATGTCATTTCAAAATGTAAAAACAACTTTATCTCATAATTAAGACTTTTGAAGTCATAATTTTAGCGTTTAATCTCATAATTATAAACAAATATGTCATAATTTAGAATTTTTATGTATGATTTTTTTTATCTGATGTGACACAAATGGCCTTCCATTCCATATACTGTATATAAGTCATTCTATTGGACAACAAGATTACGAAATTTATATTAATTTTTGACTTATTTTTTGCTTTGTCCTTGAATCTTTGAAATTAGCGGTTCTACATCAAATCAACCGAGACTAGCATGATTTGAGTGGCAATTAACTTCTCCAAGATCAGTCCTATGAGCAATATTTTCTAAAAGCTTTTAACACACCTCTGTGACTGTGCTGCACTGAGCTATACTCAGTGATATCTTCCTATTCCAGTTCTTTCAGAAGAGAATACAGCAATTGTCTCACCTTTTATGAAACAAACAAAAGTCCCACGGTTAGTGAAATAACACTTTCAGTGATTGAAGTCAAGGTTGGTAACCCTTTCCGGCACTTTCTTCTTCTTTGTTCCCAAGTGCCATTTACTGCTGCTTGTTCTCAATGAGGCAGAGCACTTCACTTTAATAAAACCAGGTTTTTAATATTATTTATATTGAGAACATTGAGGCACAGCTTTAAATGAGATTAGTGTTGTCTGTGTTTGTGCAAACCCTAGAAGTCAATCAATGTGATGGGTTTGGTTTCTACATCTACTGAGTCTATGTAGCAAATTAAATTTAATAGAGAGCAATCAGGGTAATACTTACAGGATAATGAATAACTTAGATGGCTGATGTTAAGGGCATGAGGCTGTTGTAGCTTGCTTCGTTTTTGCTTGATTTATGCCATAATAAATGTCTCAAAAATACAGAACTTCTAGAGAACTTTAGAAAAGTTAAATATATTGTATAAAAAGCTACTTGCACTCCTGTTAGTTTCAGCTTAGGTCTGGGTTTGTATTTCTTCAATTCTACTGCCATCCACTGGCACCAGATAACTTTACAACATGAGGTTTATTGGCACAGTTTTCAACTGAGCTGGATATTTCAAATTTGCATTAGGTCATTTAGGAGCCCGAAGTTTACACAAGAATGAAAATTATTTCATCAGTGCAAACCTGTATTATTTTCTTTCTTCTGTGGAGTATGAAAGAAAACCTTTTTACTTGAGAAATAATCTACTGATTGCTCTTTTCTATAAAAATGGCTTTACAGGTTTTCAAAAAGGACGCAAAAGCACCATAAAAGTATCATAATTGTAGTCTATATATATATATATGCACTGTTCCAAAGTGTCTGGGTTAGCAATGTTTTTTTTAATGTTTAAATCCTCTTGTGCTAAACAAAGCTGCATATATTTGACCAAAAATAGAGTAAAACAGAAATATTATTACAACTTAAAATAACTGTTTTCTATTTTAATATACTTTAAAATGTCATTTATTTCTGTGATGCAAAGCTGAATTTTCAGCAACGTTACTCCAGTCTTCGGTGTCAGATGATCCTCCAGAAATCCTTCTAATATTCTGATTTACTGCTAATATAAATACAAAGTTCTGGCATGAAACTCTAGATGGTGCATGCTAATAGGTCCTTTTACGCACCTGTTCATAATCGCATCGTTATCTATAGGACGCAGCTGATTGGTTCCTGTCGTATCAGTGGTCAATGAGCTCGCTGCTCAACCTTCAAATACTTGGTTAGCATTTGCCTTAGCAGTGCAGCGCGCTTCAGAAACCCTCCACCCTCCCCAGCTCCACCTGTCCACCCATCAAAAGAACAGCATTTATATGAAATAGAAATCTTCCTTAACATTATGAATGTCTTTTCTGTCACTTTTGATCAATTTGTGTCCTTGCTGAATAAAAGTAATAATTTCATTTCAATAAAAATATAATAATAATACCGATATACAGTGTTGGGGAAAGTTACTTTTAAAAGTAATGCATAAATATTGCATTACTCTCTAAAAAAAAAATAATAATAATTGTGTTTCTTATTTACGTTTAATGGAAAGTGGGTAACACTTTAGATTACAGCCCGGAAAGTACTGTGTAATTAAGAGGAATTTACATATATTTATAGTGTACCATAAAGTACTTGCATGTAAGTATAAGGGAACAATATGTAAAGTTTAGGGAATAAAGGGGTAACAACCAGGAGAATTAAAAAAATATTTTTACTGTAAGTATTATAGAACTAAGGGGTACTTATTCTACTATTATAATACAACAATCTTACACTTGGGAGCAATTTAGCGAGAACATACACGGCGTACCTTTTTGTAATAATTGTGTACCAAAACGGCTTTTTAAAAATGACATATATGTCAAAATGACTTAGCATACATCATTGAAGTGGACAAGACCATTAGCATTTCTAAAAAAAAAATTACCAAAGTGTTTCGATATTTTTCCTATTTAAAACTTGACTCTTCTGTAGTTACATCGTGCACTAAGACCGACGGAAAATGTAAAGTTGCGATTTTCCAGGCTGATATGGCTAGGAACTATACTCTCATTCCTGCGTAATAATCAAGAAACTTCACTGCCGTACCATGAGAGCAGCAGGCGTAATGATATGACGCAGCGCCTGAAAATAGTTCCGTTGTGTTGACGGAAGGTGGCCTATTTTCAGGCGCTGCGTCATATCATTACGTCTGCTGATCTCATGGTACGGCAGTGAAGTTTCTTGATTATTAAAAATTAAAAATTTCCAAAAAAAGTGGAGTATCCCTTTAAAGCAAAAGATAGAGTACTGCCCACAAACCTTCAACACTTGTTTATCCTTATAGAAAATGAAGGAAGAAGAAAGGGACATTTTAGGTATCAAACTGCAAGGACAACAGCAAAAAAATTGTGTACTTCAGTGGTGGGAGTTAAAGTTTGGAATTCTTTGCAAAATTAACTAAAGCAATGTAAAAATATATTTCAGTTTAAAAAAAGATTTACAGAGAAAACAATGGATTTGTATGAAGTTGATGATGGTTCTGATCATGGTTTGCTTTTGCAAATTGATGTTTTGGTTTCTAGTTTGTTTCATTTGTTGTCATCATGTATTGACGGGGACTTGATATGTTGAGTCTTTTGATATGTTGAGTTTATTTTTTATTTTTGTGGAGGGGGCAGGAAATATAAGATATTCTTTGTCCTGCCTCCTTTTCATCATGGTTTTATAAATTATATATATATGAGAATGATGAAGTAAGTTAATGGAAAATATCCATAAATGAAATAAACATAATCAATAAAAAAAAAAATCAATCAAGATACTTTTGCTTTTTACTTTTTCTTACCTGGACTTCCATTTTCTGTTTTGGGCAAATGTACACTTTTCACACCAACAAATGAAATGATTAAGCCTCAAGCTGAAGGAAGTGCAAATTCACGTCTGTATGGTTAATAACTTGAGATTAAATGGATTAAGTATGTGATATAATATCATAATATATATTATTATTGCAGAATTGCATAATATTCTGAGTTTGCATTTCACTGTTATTCATTTAGAGGAATACTGAATCTGTTCTTGTGTAACTGAGATGAGTAAATACCTGTTCACATTTAGTCTAGAACTACAATAACTGTTCACATAGCAAACACATCGCCTCTGCATTTACTCCCGATTTCTTTCAACATGGGGACAGGAGAGCTGTCAGTCAACACATGAAAAAAACAGAGTAACTTGTGTTACGTTTTTGAAAAAGTAACTCAGATATTTTATTATAAATTTAAAAGTAATGCATTACTTTACTAGTTACTTTAAAAAGTAATCTGATTACTTAACTTGAGTTATTTGCAATGCGTTATCCCCCAGTCATTGAACTGATTCATTGAAAAGATATGACTAAAAAATTATACAATTCAAATAATAGAAACAGATCATACAGGTATGTGAGTAAATATTGACCAAAATTTCATTTTTGGCTGAACTATCCCTTTAAAACAAATTTAATACTTTCTCCTTATGTGTCATGATGACCACCAAAGTAGAGTTTATAGATGAAAGCAGACTGTCACATATAGTCCAACACAAAGCTTCCGTTCCACAGCACAGTTAATGCAAGACCTATCTGAGGAACTCAATGCCATTAGCTGTGATAATACTCGTGCCTTTCTCTTTTTCTCTGGCTTAGCTTTGATGAAGCCATGGAGCTTGCTTGTGGTCTGGCTGAAGGAGCTCAGCGTGAGGAAGGTGAGCTGAGATACTGTATTTTAATGTACATCATCAGATCAGAGTGCACCATTAGATAGACATCAATGCATTAGACCTTTATGTGTGCTGTTTTTAAGTGTGTGTTTGTTTGTGTAAGTAGTATAGAGACAAATGAAGAGGAAGGGCGGTTGAGTCTTTTAACTGTTCCCATTGGTAATATTGTTTCTTTAATGCCTCAATTGTTTTTCCTTGACAGCAATGAGATCAGGCGGAGAGCAAATGGAGACTTTTTCTCACGTCTAGTGCTTGTCAGATTTTTCTCCTGAGAAAAAGACTCTAATCTCTTGTTTTCAAGAGTTTCAGAAGTGATCTCAAACGATAGCACAAGCTGTGCTCAGAGGAGACTGAATTTTAAATGCATAGTCTGCTAAAAAGTAAATTTGTCAAGTTTTAGGATTATATAGCATTAAGCATATATGATATAACAGATAACAAGGACGTATAAAGGAGTCCAATTTTAGTCTCACGACACGAGCTATGAAAAAAACAGGGTTGACGTATGGAAATTAGTATTGTTAAGTTGACGTTTATCATCATTGCAGCACTATCCACCATCACACACACACACACACACACACACACACACACACTTACTCAGCTCTATGCAGCAGTGTTTGAGTCATTGTTCCTCCAGCTCTTGGGTCAAGATGAGAGGACTTTATTAGTGAATGCAGTTCATAACCTATGATAATTAATAAAGGAATTTCAAAGACGAGAAAGTGAGGATGAGACCACGATGACTCTAGTACTCCAATCACGAGTGTTAGTTTATTTTAAAAAGTGGTGGAGACAGTTGAGAGGTCACATCATGAATATTAATTTATTCATAAGCAATTTAATATAACCGATTTACTATTTTTGACAAAACGTCCATGTGAAATGAAATGTAAACAATAGCACTATGAGTGTAGAATATATATATATATATATTTAAATTGTAATATTTCACAATACTATAATTTTTACTGTATTTTTTATTAAATAAATGGAGGCTGTCAAAATAAGAGACTTATTAAAAAATCCTATCGACCCCAGTTTATAATATACATATTATTATATATTATGTATATTATTTTTTATGTATAAAACCCCCCACAAATATACAAAAAAAATATTAATGGAAAAATGTTAAAAAAAAATATTTAAACAGAAATTTCAATAACTCTTTGAGTTGCTATTTTTGATGTAAATGATGTTCTCATTACACAGTGATTGAGGGATCAATCACGCTTATCAAGTAATTCAAGCACTCAAATGAACTTGCGACACTTAATTTGATAACTTCATTCTGCTAATGTCAGCCCTGGGATTTTAAACTCGGTGGATAAATGCATCAGTAATTGATTGTCAAATTTGACACTGGATTGAATTTTCACTTAGAAAATTTGAGTGGTTTAGGGTTGTAATTTTAGACACTAATGTAGTTTTTTCATTTGATTTATTTTTCTTTTATTCTGTATTCGATCAATCACTGCCATGAGATATTTCATAAAGTGGTGTGGACTGTGGACATATCATATGATGCTTATGACTCCTAAACTGAGCGACAGAGGAATACTCATAATAATGAACCACTAATTGAGCTCAAACACAGTATACTTGAGCCAGAACACTAACTCATTTGTTTGCCACAACATTCATAAGGCACAGGCTGTCTCGCCATCTTTCTGCCTGCCTGTCTATGTCTTTCCCTTTGCTGCAATAAGCAACAAAAGATGATTGATCTGGCAGGCTCCCTGATGGCTGGCGGTATCACACGCTCAGTGGACGATGGCGGCGAGCTCTATTGTCTTACAGTGATGCGGCTAAATGAGTCTCTTTATCAAAGCGCACACGGCGGCTCAGGATTCGCTTAATTGAGATGCACAGTGATTGTCCAGAGCTGAACGCTGCGAAGCGCTATTGATCGCCGGCGTCTTGTTTACGCCACATGTGACTGAGCATGATCAATGCTGTCCCTGCACTGTAATTGATCACCGATAGCCAGTCACCTGTATTGATTGAGACTCATTCGGGCTGGAATAATAGCTGTCAGTCCTGGCGGGAGGAGGAATTCTGCCCAGCTCTGCTCTTTATTCTTTCTGTCCAAACCCTGTTACGCCTATCGTTTCACACTTAAGGTTGTCATAACCAGTGTTGGGGAAAGTTACTTTTAAAAGTAATGCTTTACAATATTGTGTTACTCCCCAAAAAAGTAACTAATAACATTACTTTTGCGTTACTTTTTCTTACCTGGGCTGGGCTTGCTTGTTTGTTTTTTAATAACAACAAAAAAGGCATATTTTTGACAAATGTTAAGGCGCTTTCACACCAAAAGTGAAATGAATGTTTACACAGCGCACACAACATCTCCTCACTTTATTTCTCTCAACATGGGGACAGGAGAGCTGTCAGTCAATAAATGTGAAAAAGTAACTAGCGTTACTTATTTGAAAAAGTAACTTAGATATTTAGTTGTAAATTTAAAAAGTAATCTGTACTTGTTGCATGAAAAAGTAATCTGATTACGTAACTCAAGTTACTTGTAATGACCAACACTGGTCATAACATTAATTTGTAAAATATTATATTAATAATATTATTATAATTTGTGTATTATAATTATTTTAAATTATTGATATTATGATAATTAATGTTACTATAGTTTTGCTTTTAAAATTATTTTTTTTTTCACTGCTCTGCCATTAAGAAATGTGAAATGCAACTTAAAAACATATCAAATTAAATAATCAGACACCTGATGATTTCTCAACAAGGAGGGACATTTGAGAATATGTTTTCACCTGATATTTGTATTGATATAAGCCTTTTAATTTTTATTATCTAAGCTCTTCTTGCTTTTTCATGTAATATATCAGGAGGACTCCAGCAGCTTTATTGAGTCCATCTGTGAAATTCTCTCTCTTTGGTCACTCATTAATTCTATCTCTCTCTGTCTCCATCCATCTCTGTCTCACTCTTTCCATTCTGTCCACCATCATCCATCTTTCTCCTTCCATGCACTACAGCTTTATCCTGCCAGTAGGCTACGTCCTAATTCTTCTCTTTTCGCATGTCTTTTTTTAAACCCTGATCTTTTCTCTTTTTTACTTTTAGATATTACTTACATATTTATAGTTTTCACATTACACCCTCATAGTGTAGGGCACAACCTCTGCAGGGCAAAACAAGGCTTTCATCTATTGCCCGCCGTTTTTTTTTAAATACTTTTTTTACTAACTAATGTAGTTAGACAGTGATTTTAAAGGGGCATTATGCAGAAATCCCGTTTTTGTCAAACAGCGACCCCTAGAGTTACTGTGGAGTGCTTGAATTTAACGTTACTGTCGTAAATACCACTCACTCAGAGCGTGACATGGCCTGTTATATAGATAGTATACAATAGTACATTGTGTTTAATTTGTCGTTTAATGAGATATAATATATGTTGTTAGTGGTGAGAATTTTCACGTGATTAAATACATAGATCCGACAATTTTAATGGTCCAGAGGCAGAACTTTTGCCAAGTGTGTCAGAGGTTCTGGGTTCTAGTCGGTACTAGTAGTATAGTTTATTTTCCTCATCAAAACCGATTGTTTATTAGTGGTTGTATTTCAAGCAGGGACATGTTTTTTGTGCATTAGGTTTTGTGATTTTACCATAACAAAATATAGAGAGTCTCTCAGTCCCCGCAACGGATTCAGGCGCGCGTCACAACAGAACACTGTAACTTATCTGCACCACTGATCGCAGAGGCAACGAGCACTTTGGTCACTTGATTTCAAAAATAACACATTTCAGATCGCCTCTTATTTAACAAACGTACGAAATGAATGCTCTACTAGAGTTACCTGGAGATGTTTTATTTGTTTGTAATGGTACATCCGTGCCGCGAGAAGTTTCAATGGGGACATAACACACCCGCAAATTATGCCTATGCTCGTGTCCGACTCCTCGCTCGGTCAGTCTGCCGTTTCCTCTTTCTCTGTTCCTCCGACAATGCTTTCCTAGCTTTCTGCATCTTATATGCCGGCTCAGCCATGACGATAGTGTGACAAACTCCATCCATCTACCTTGTTCCTGTGTGTACGTGTGCAGTTGCCGTAAAGGAATATGTTACATCGCGAGAGCTGATATCACGCGATACTTCCTGACGCGGCCCGCCGCACCGAAGTTGCAAGTGGGATTTTTCCGCTCACGGGCACCAGGGGGGGTCGAGACGCCCACCATTCAACCCGAAAGAAGTTATATAAACATTTCAATAACTCTGAAGCTGTTCAGTTAAGCTAAAAAAGCTGCATAGTGTCCCTTTAAAAGACCAAATTTAGCATACAACTTATTGATGATGCATACTATCAGGCAAGATGAACCCAGAATATAAATGCAACGCACAGTTTCTCATTAAGCATTTCCCCATGAAAAACCATTATAAAGTAACCATTAAGCGCATTGTGTTCATATTCTGGGCTCATCTGCTCCCATATACATCATAAATAAGCTGTATACTGAATTTTATATTTTTAACACAGTTTTTGTACATTTTTGGCTCTTTAATTGTTTTTCACATTAAGCGTTTTAGAATGTGCCGGTGTTTTAAGTGAATGAAATACTGCGGCAGGTGCTGTACATGGATCACAAGTGCCCAAAATTTGCATTTTATTCACATAATTTATGCCGCGTTCCAGGCAACCTGTAACCCGTGTTTTTCCAACTCGTAACTGGGAGTACATCGTTCCAGGCAACCTGTAACCCGTGTTTTCCCAACCTTATACCCGTGAAAGTGCACTGGAACGGCAGTCAAACCCGTGACTTCCCACCCGTGAATTCGTACTAGATCGATGTACTCTAGCAACCACAAATCCTTGCGCTCAGGTAGTTTGGCGTGACTGGCCTGGAATGCTACAAAGTCGTGAGTCGTGGTTTGAAGACGTGATTTACGTGCTCAAAAACCTGCCTGGAACGCAGCATAAACAGACTGACAGAAGTACAGACTGACACTCCCAGCTCCACCTCCTTCCTCGTCACTCGCGCCGCTGCGCATGGGTAATGTAGTTTGTTTGAATATATTGTAAAGGTTTACAACAAAACTGTCAAACATCATCATTTTAGATTTACTATTACTCAATATAAATCAATATCACTTAAAACTAATAAATTGTAACAGCCTAGATTAGATCTACTAAAAGAAAATCTGCAGGCTTGCCACTGCAAGGGACTGGCAGTTGTTAGTGGACCTGGAAAGGCAGCTGAAGTTCCCTAGCCATATCGCAGTTACCACCCTGCGGACAGACATCGTCCTAGTGTCAGAATCTACTAAACAAGTTGTGCTGCTGGAACAGACACGTGGGAATATCACTTGGAAGAGGCCTTTGAGAGGAAGCTCTCCAAGTATGCAGGACTGGTCAGCGACTGCAAGCAGGCAGGATGGAGAGCGAGGTGTATCCCAGTGGAGGTTGGATGTAGGGGATTTGCAACACGTTTCTTAGCCAGTGCCTACATAGAGCTGGGTGTTCAGGGAGTCAGCAAGAGATCGGCTTTCTGCAGTACCACTGAAGCAGCAGAGAGGGCTTCAAAGTGGCTATGGCTCAAAAGAGGAGAGCCATGGAGTGCTAAGTAGCTAGCCAGCTGGACAAGCTTGGGTGTGATGTTGGTGTATGATGTTGAAAGACCCGAAACACCCGATGATTCCAGGAACATCACTGATTATGTCCAGCGGCATCAGAAGATGTATGTGTTCAACTATGTGTGATTGAAGCACACTTGATGTACGAATGTCTGACACATATAGAGACTGTTAAAGTCACCATGAAATCAAAATGGACAATTCTTATTTTTTATGGAATATTGCAGTATTTACATTGACATCTCATCTCTTCTCAGATGACGTGATGATCACATGAGATCGACCAATAGCAAACCACAACCATCCAACGATCCAATCAGTTCCGATGGACAAAATCAAGTCCCACCCTACATTTTTCTTGCTCGAGAAGCCGTTTCACTTGGATATACGTTACAATAAAGAAGAAAAGACTATCGCAACTTCAGTTTTATGATGACTTTAAAAAATAGATGCTTTTTAGTTCACACTGAGTATGTTAAATACTATTTGCACAAAGTAAAAGTTAAAATCAACTTATACATTTGAAAGTGTTTGTTTTAGATGTTGTCAGTATGCTAATATCGTATGTTTTAGGTATCATCCACGAGCACATAATGTATGTGAGCTAGAAGCACACTTGAATATCTGTGAATACTAATGAGATGGCATTGTTTTTTTTCTCTCTCTCGTTCTTTCCCTCTCTATTCTCTTCTGCCATTTCAAAATGATGACAAACACCAGCGTTCTCTCTCGGCTCCTCTTGCTGTACAATCCTCCTTCAAACCTTCGCCTCATTTGCGCTCATACCTGTCTCTCTCCCACCCCCTTCGTGTGCAAGGGCAATTAAAGTCGATCCAGGCTTCCTCTCCGGCTCTCAAGGGTCACTCAGTAAACACAGGTCATTTCTTTATTTCTCTTTCTTTCCCCACTCTCCCTCCCCCATCTCTTTTAACATCTCTTTCTCTGTCTGTTTCGGTTCTCCTTTTCCCTTTCTGCATCACTCTCTCCATCAATGTCACTTTTCTGGAATGTATTACAATAAACAAGACATGCTAATCAGTTGTTTTGTAGGATGTTTTAGTATCATGTCTCCTTCCTTTCCAGTGCTCCCAGTTAAAAGACAAACAAGATGTTGCCATGGAAACACAACAGACACAGCTTTCCGTATAGCGAGGGTGTAATCTGAAAATCAAGATCGGGGGATTCAAGGAGCCGTAAATAACAATTAAAAAGCATGATAATAGACTGTTTAAATAGTGATTTATACAATTAATGGCAGTGTCATGACACTTTAGTGGATATTTTTCATCCCCAAACAACTCACTTTATTGTTTTTCAATCAACTGAATTAAATTAATCAGCAATAGATGTATAGTTGTGTTGATTCACTTCTTCTGCATGAATGATCAGCTTGTGATAGAATAGAATGACAATATTATATTCTTACTGTATTTTGATCAAACAAATGCAGCCTTGGTGATCATAAGAGACTTCTTTCAAAATCATTAAAAAAGTATTACTGACCCCAGCCCAGACTTTTGAGATAAACGGACAAACAAAATATATAGCCTGTATCATTTTTCTAAGGGTTATGGTTGATGCATTTTATTATACTATTCTGTAAATCGGGGTTTAAATAAAGTCCTGGGGGGGCTGGGGTTATAAAATGTTATTATTATTTTTTTAAATATAAGTAAAGAATTAAAAGGGATTTAAGTGAATAAAGTTAAAGAAATGAAAATGGTGAAAGGAGTGAAGTAATCAATTTAAACGATTTGCAAATAATATTTTAAAACATGCGCACATTCATTCTTGTCCAATTACTTACATTATTTGTACTCGTCTTTTGTGAACAGTAAGAACAGTCTTTGATTTAAATGGCCATCTTAATCATTTTGACATGACAAGCGCTGTTAGAGCAGCCTAAAATTTTTTATTTTATGCATAACTTTCATGGGGTGCAGCACAATTTGCCATTTGAAACACCAGCCCCAGTCATTTTTAAAAAAGCCATGTAAACACAGTTTACATACCGGTATGTTTACTCCACGAACATGGCAACCATGCACGAACCTTTTTCTCTTTTCTCAGCCCTCCATTTTGCTCTTTCAATCGCATAACTTATACGTCTACATTCTAACTCCGTTAACACAAAACCCACAACACACAATCAGATAACAGCTACACCCTTGTTGACGTCGCTGTCGACCAGCTTACGTCATTTCAGAGTTCCAACTGGCAGTGCGAATGCTAACAGAAAAATGGCTGTAGGGGAAAATTTTGTTCTACCAGAAACACTCGGGAGATAGAATGATGTAACAAAGCATTAATTTATTGACAGCCCATCAAGCAATTAAAGTTCTTTGGTGTAGTGTCCGTAGTGCATAATCCGAGGGTAGCGGATCTGCATTTCCTGCCCGAAGACGAAGGCAGGGGCGCAGCCGACCCCCCAGGAGGTATGGACAGGACCATTCTGGTGGTGGTGGGGAGGGTGGAGGTAATTGTTTGCGTCAGCGTCTGCGAACTCAATCATGTGTAAGTACCGATCTTTTATACAGCAAGTATTAAGACATGATAGATGTGAGGGTAATAAGTGACGTAGTAATTGAGTCTTCCTGGCAGAATTTACGCTAAAGCTTTCATTTCTCAGGTGACCGCCTGCATGGCGGCTAGTTCCTATAACCACCTGATGCGAAAAACCCTATTGTCCATGGTGGTTACGGCCCTGCTATGAATCAACCATCACTCTGAGACTTTAGCCAAACACCCACAAATAGAAGAACCACATTTTTTAACATCTATATATATATGGATTTTACAAAAGACTCTCTGGTGTTAGCTGGTGAGGAAGGGAACAATATCACCTTTGCTAGTTAGAGGAAGAGAAACATGCTGCAGTACCTTCAAAGAAGTGAGATCTCACAGGTACAAGGCCAATGCCTGAGCACAACCAAACCTTCAGCTGATGGATGGACCACTTTTCTGGTACATCAAATAAACAGTGATCGGTAGAAGACACTTTGTAAGTGACTTAAAGTTTAGCTTTTTTGGTTTTGTTTAAAAGATAGACTTTTTTCAGTTGTACCTTCAGCATTGTGCCACCCTGGAGGTGTAAGAATTCGCGGCTCTTCCATGTATGATGCAAGCCGAGATCAAGAAATGTTCTCACATCCTCCTCTCAAGCTCTCACTCCTCAAGCAAGACTAATCCCCACTGAACTCACAGAATTCCTCATATTCCAGGATCCCCCCCCCCCCTGCATCCGGTACATGCGCACACACATACCATCCCTCTAGAGGCACTAATCCTGCTCTTCTCCCGGGTTTCATCTCTCTTCTCGCCTCTCCTGTTCTTCAGATCTGTCACTACCGGAGCAAAACTAATCTTGCCCCCATCCACTTCCTGTGTTGCGCATCACTCTCTCTCTCCACCCTCATCTTTCATTTTCCCTTTTCTTCTCCTCTGCTCTCACAGTAGGAATGATGTTCCAGGTCCTGTGATACTCTCTTAAAAATAAAGGTTCTTTATTGGCATATATGGTCCCACAAATAACCTTTAACATCCATGGAACTTTTCCATTCCACAAAAGATTCTTTAGTAGGAAAAGTTTCTTTGGAATCTTAAAATGTTCTATACACTAAAAAAAAGGTTCTTTAAAGACACTGAAATGTTCTTTGGAGAACCAAATACTGTAACATTTCTTTTTAAGAGTGTATTTTCAGAGACATTCACATATTGAGTTTGCATTTCAAACTCTATGGATTAGGCCAAACAACACCCTTTTTTATTGGTTTATAAGCTGCAAAAGTTTTCAATGAAACGGAGTGTAGTTTTACATAGCTTTCATACTCATAGATGTATATTAATCCTTCCACATGTGACATCGTTGACCTAGACAGCTTAAGTACCTGTCATGCATTTGTCATCTTTGGCTAAACATCAAAGTAAATTCCCCTCCATGTTTGTGACTTTTCTAATCACCTCTCATCCTCAGAGTCTGTTTCTGTCCAGCTGGTGATGAATTTGTGCCAGTTTATTGATGGCCAAACCACATGAAAAGCCCCTGCGATTCACACTTTTCAACTTGCCAGATTAAAATTGGTGACTGTTTACAATGAAAGCACTTTTGGTACATGCTTAATTCTGATTTACGTTTGGATGCTTTTGGTGGTTGTGCTGATACATGAAGAAAAATGAAATGAAAAAATACCTGAATTATAAGTATATAGACAGACTTTTTAATGTTTTTGAAGAGAAATGTAAGCTCACTAAAGCTGCATAAACAGTAATATTTTTGAAAATTACATTTTAAAATAGTTGTTTTATATTTCAATACATTTTAAAATGTAGAAAGAAACATTTTTATTATTATCAATGTTAAGATTTATAGTTGTGTGGAAACCGTGTTACTTTTTTCAGGTTTGATGAATAGCAAGTTCAAAAGACCAGCAATTATTTGAAATAGACATTTTATGTAATAATGTAAAAGTCTTTATCTGTCACTTTTGATCAATTAATTGCATCCTTGCTAAATAAAAGTGATATTTTCTTTCAAACAAATACTTTTAATTCTTTTATAATTTAAGGATTTTTCTATATAACTGTTTTATAAATAATGCATTTAATGGCTTTATTGAGCTAATATAAATAACCAACCAAGCAAAAAAATAAATGCCCTAAAAATGACTCAATGCAGCAACAACCAATGGGATCGGCTATAGTGTTCAGCAGGAAAGAGAATTCAGTCAGAGTAAATGTACTTTAAGACTTCACTTTTTTCTTTTAGTTAGTAAGTATAGCTTTATTTTTAGCACCTTAAAACAGCACTTACAAAGTGCTTTACAGAAGAGAAATTCGTAGAAAAAAAACATACACATGAATAATATTTGTGTATTAACAAATATGTTTAATGTGGCATTTAAAATGTATTTTAAATGCCACCTTAAACATATTTGTTAATATACATTTTATTACATTATATACACATTTTTCTTTTTCTTAATCACAGTGTGTTT